GATGTTAAAAACTTCGAATCACGCTAATTATCGTGTATCCCTTCAATTTTTCTTACCTGACTAAAAAGAATACCGTGATTTAAATGTTTGAACTTGTTATTAATTAAGTTGTCTGCCAAGAAAGTTTTTGAAACGGACCACATACCAAATTTATCTCCATCGTAAAGCGGGGTTTACACGCGAATCTATAATTAACTCATCTTTTAAGTGAGTGAAATAATACGGTAGGTAAATTCTTCTAAATATTAAAAAAATCATCCAAAATTATAGTCATATACACATCCAAAATTCATCCAAACTTCTAAATATTAAAAAAACATCCAAAATTATAGTCATATACACATCCAAAATTCATCCAAATGTTATAAAAAAATACAACTCGTAGTCATCAGACAAAATTATTTATTTAAAATAAAACAGTAAATATACAAATATAGAATCACGAAAACAAATATACAAAATCATTTAAACAGAAGGAATACAATACGGGAAATAAAAATACGACAACATGAGGAAAACTTTTAAACATCAGAAGGCATTTTTATCACTTTGTCCAATTTATAAGTATATAAATATCCATTTAATTCACAAGTAACGCTTTTCGGTCTACCGACCAATTTCACGTCGGAATCAAAAGCGAACTTAAAATCCAGACATTGTCCAGAAGGTAGTTCCTGTTCTCGAGGGATCGTAGAATAAGAATAACTGTCTGATTTATGATTGGATTTTGGAAGTTCCATAGAAACGGTCCTCTTTCTGCGTCTCTTTCGTCTGGAACCGGTCGAGTTTCCGCCGGACACACTCACACTTCGACGTCTTGAAGAGCTTTCGGCAGGAGGTGTATCGTCTTCGGTATCCGTGTAGATTCGAAGACGCCGTTCCAGAGGAAACCTTTTCAGAGGTTCTGCTAAGTTCGTCTCGGGAACAGATTCATCGGCGGACGTATCGATTAACGTAATGACGGAATCGGGAATTTCGACTTGTAGATTGTTGATGAATTTGGAATACGGGGACACCTGATTTGCCATGTTGTTCGTTTCAGAAATGATGAGTGAACTACCTCTTTTATAGCAAATTTATCTATACGTCATCCGATATCGAGAGATCATCCGATATCGAGAGTACAGATAAGATGGCTGTGATAAAAAGGTAGATCTAACGTCGGACGAGGGTTAACTTTAGAATCGAACCTCGGATTTCGCGAACAGTCAATTGGTTATCAAGAGTACAGATAAGACCTGCTATAAAAAAAGTCGATAGATCGAGATTAGTCTAACTTTGGAATCAAACTTCGGACTTCGCAAACAGTCAATCAGTAGTCCAATGATTTACATTTCGTTTTATTTAAAATTATAGACTTCGAGATCCATGATACGCACAAGGGTATCGCGCGAAAGAATACGAGAAGCGACATCGACCTCGATCGGGACAGGGTAAAACACATATGTCTCTTCCGCACTGAGGATAACGAATGACTTCACACATAATGATTCGAACACTTTATTTATCACCATTTTAGTAAATGTTTCTCAACTCTTCGAATCATTTTAAGATCGACGGTATGCACACCATGTGGAGGTCGTAAATCAGACAGGTTTCCAAGTTACACCATTCGTTTCTGATTAGCTCCATTTTCTTGGAAAATAGATGGGAAGACTGCCGATATTTCATCAAAATGTTCATATTTCCGTATTCGTCTGCGATTTCCAATAATTCCTTCTCCAGATCGGTGGAATCAAACTCCGGTATATCGAAATGGTAACGCACGTAATTGAATTTTGAATACAATTCGTTAATCTCGTCGAATCTACCTGACTTTTCGATTTCTAGCCGCTTGCAACTTAACTTCAGAAGTTCGTCGAAAATTTCGTAGCAGTGAGAGATGTACAGAGACCGATTCAATTGTAAAATGTAATTCCTCAAACGAACCAGGTACGACGTGAAATCTTTCATAAATTTCAGATACGTCTTTTCGTTAGGGTGCATGCTGAGATTCAAGTAAACTTTGAAGTCTTCATATATGTATGAAGTTTTTTTTTTTTTTTTTTTTTTTTTTTTTTTTTTTTTTTTTTTTTTTTCAAAATTAGATTAGATTAGATTAGATTAGATTAGATACTCTGATCTTTGGGGGCGAAAATGGAAAATTGTACCATATGCCTCAAAGTTATTGAAAATAGATCGTTCTGTCTGGATTGCTCGCACACATTTCACTACGATTGTATCGAAAGATACGTGCAAATCTTCGAACGCCGATGTCCATGCTGTCAAACTGAGCTGAGCGACTTGGACGGACTTTTTCTCACAGACCATATCGAACGTACTGGTGATGAATCTGAGTATTCTATTTCGGACACGACGTCCGATTCGGATTCTGAGGATATTCAAATTAGATATTATTCCGATAACGCGTCCTATCCCATCCAATTATACATAGAAGAAGCAGTAATGGATTTTCCATCGAACGATCCACCCATGTTAGCGAATTCGAACGATTCATCTCGGGAAGCCCCCCCACCGTCGCCGTTCGAAGTTCCGAATGGTATTGAAAACACGAATAACCCCAATGACGTTACCGAACGACTCTATTCATTCATGGCCGATGTAATTTCTAAGCTCAACGCAAGAAGAGATAAATTTTCATAATTCGAATGTCGGTATTTTTAAGAGAATTCGAATGTCGGTATTTTTTTAAGAGAATTCGAATGTAATTACATAACCATGTCTTTGAACCCTAAGAATAATTAAGGATTAAATAATATATAAATTTCACTTCGAATGTCGGTATTTTTTAAGAGAATTCGAATGTCGGTATTTTTTAAGAGAATTCGAATGTCGGTATTTTTTAAAAGAACATGAATTGATATGCATTGAGTTATACTTTCTCGCTTCCTATATTAAAATATTTTTTGATTGTTATATAACTGTAAGAATCGAAGACATTTAATATGTGAAATAATAAACTCGTTAAAAAAAATCAAAAGTGTCGTTATTATTAAACTCCAAACTCCGCAAACAAAAATATGTACCATCTAAAATTGTTCTTTCACATTCTCCGACACGCGACCTGCCGGAGATATTACGAACTTTGGATTTTTTTTTTTTTTTTTTTTTTTTTTTTTTTTTTTTTTTTTTTTTTTTCACTTTTGTCTGCGGAACCCTTTCACATCAGTTAGTAGTCATCATCATGTCTCGAACGGCATTAGATGCGTCCGCGTTAGATTCGTCTGTTTTCGAACTTGAAGAGTTTAATGTCGAGGTCTGTACCTGCAAAGATTTTGTTTCGATAAAACATCGTCGAAACTTATCAGAACATAAACTTGTGACAAAATGGCAAAAAGTGGGATTTTACGAATCCGTTTTCGAGAAACCCGACTGGTGGATTAACTCAAAGATCATAAAACTGTCTAAAGAATCCGGACTTTGGAGCGATACTCCCGTTGTGTTTTCGAGTTTCTACAGTTATGCCTGGTATCATCTCCTGTTGACGCCGGCCGAGTTTGCGAATTTTTCAAAGACGTTCCGAGAGGAAAAAGATTTCGCGGTGTTACCCCATTGGTGCATTTGCGAAAATCTCATCGATTTGACCACCTCTCGTCATCTGATCGTCGCCGTTCTTTTCAAGTTTAAAAGCAAATTTGAGGAACTTTGTGTTTTTCAGAACAAACGCATTTACGATCGTTTCAAGCTGGCTAAAATTCTACAACACGTCGGAGGAATTGAAACCGTCGATTCGCCTCACGAATCCTACTGGGTCAATAGACCATTATATCCTCACGCGCTCCTGGGAATGCTCACGCTGTTCGAAGGCGGACTAAAAAACGTTCCAAAAACAGCAATGAATTGCGTCGTACCGGTTCGCAGAGACTTCGAACCGATTGCTGTGAATCCCGAAGGTCCCCATCACACTTTCGTACTCTACATTTCGGATGATACCGTGTTGGTCTTCGAAAAGGTTAAATATATTGAAACTAATTCGCCCGTAGAACTGTGGTGGAAAATTCAACATTTTTTCGGAAATGTTCTCTTTTTTAGTTACGAAGAACTTTGTAACGGAAAAAAGACATCGACTAGAACATTAAAGGATATCTCTCAAGAAATGGAAAAACTTCGTAAGATGAACAAAGAGTTACTTCTCCGATTAGAGAAATCTATCGAACCGATGGATTGGCGAAATGAGTATTATTAAAGACTTTTATTTGAATACATACAGATGTTATTGTTAGTAATTGTGTTTATTTGAATACATACAGATGTTATTGTTAGTTTGTGTATATAAAAAAATAAATCTTTTTGAACTACATTTTTT